GATCAAATGGAATGTAGGGTCTATAATAAGAGCAATTCGATTAGGCGCTTTGAAGCTATCTAAGGAATGCAGAGTAGAAAAGCGCCTTTTACGAGGTATAGATATAGATAAATTATCTTTTAAGACTTTATATAATAGATCCTTTAGAATTTCGTTTATTCACTTGATACTTTTGGTTATTGATTTCTTGAAAGTATTGCTAGTAATAGTTAGAATCGAGGATATCTTTTTAAAGTTTTTTCGAAGTTTTCTTTTAAAGGTTTCAAGACTTTAAAGCTTTCTTGAAAAGAAACTTCTAATATTTGGATATCAGGGGATATATTGGATTCTATTGAATTATCCGAAAGAGTAATTTCATAATCAGAATTAATTTGTGAAATTAGATTCAAAGAATAATATATATTATTAAGAATAAAGGATTTTTGTTTTTTTCCAATATTAATCTAACTTTCAATCTCTTCGCTCAGCATCTAATTGTATTGCTAAATCTAGAGGCTTAGGTTTGAAGTCTTTCTAAGAAAGAATACGATTGAAAGCGAAAGAAAGAGTTGAAGAATAAGAACAGAGCTAAAGCAGTTTCTGCTTCTTATAATCAAAAAGAAGGGAATACTCAGCTAGCCATTATTATCCTAGAATAACACTATTATTCTGAAGAGTAATAATCAGAAAAGAAATATATAATTAAATACATTTATTAATCGTAAATGTAAAACAAATATAATAAGTAATTTATTTACCTATAATACTATTATATCCTTTAACAAGTATCGGAACGGGTAGTTTAGCAATAAAGATAATGAATATCAAGGAGATTTGTTGTAAAAGGGCTTTGTCAATAAATACATAGCTATTAGCTCCGAAGTCAATAAGAGCTTGAATTTGAAAAGCAGTTTCTTACTTCGAAATTATATAAGGAATAGTTATATAAAAACCTCCCATTAGCTTTTGTAGATTAAGATATCTTATATCTCTCAGATATTCTAAAAGGAAGACTTTTCCTAAAGTTTGTCTTTTAGGAGCTTTGTATTTATTATTTTTTCTTTTTGAATGAAATCCACTAACTGTTGAGTATTGGAAAGGTTATTGATAGATTTGCTAAAAAGTTTATCAATACCAATAATCTCTTGAATTCGAGAATCGGATTGAGTTGGAATCGAATTTCTCGTTGGATTATTAGATTTCCAAGATTGGGAATTATAATAAGGATTATTTGAGATAGAAACTGTATTAGATTAGTAATTCGATAATAAACAAGGTAAAACAGTATTCACGGAATATTATAGGATCTCTTGACTAATCTTAGGCATAGAATATAATTGTTATAAAGCAATTATATAGTTGCTAGTAGGATTCGATCGAGTAGCCGATGCGATTATATATTCCCTAGCTTTAATAGATCGGTAATTCATATCATAAATTTGAAAAAGAGCTGTATAATCATTAACACTTCGAAAACTAGTGAACTCCGTAATATAAGTATATACTAATTTGATATTAATTCGGTTTCGAAGGCTATTGAGAAGAGTAGAATTATCTTGAATTCCGGCAGTATTAGTTAATTGTCGAAATTTTTGATAGAATTCCCAAAATGGCTGATTTGCGTCTTGTTTCAATGTTTTATATTGATCTAATACTACTCGTTGCTCAACCGGATCAATAGTAACTTGTACAGCGGCTTTAATTAATCCTTGTGCGTCATATTCGGGAGAGGGATCAAGGAGCAGGGGCTGCAAATAATTACAAGCTATGCCTTCGGTATTAGTGACAATATAAATCCTGTATTGTTTTTTGCTAATAAAAGTATATACATATTGTTCCAGGTTACATTCAATTAGATATTTCCATAGTTTGGGCTTTAAGGCTTTGCTATCCGAAAGCTTTTCCATAAGGTAAGGGATTTTCTTTATTTTATAAAGAGTAAAGAAAATTATGCCTTGCTTATCAAATGTGGGTTGTCAAGAAGAGATCGAATCAGAAACAAAATGAATATCCTTTTTGTATAAAGGGTATATAATGGCTTCCATAGAATCCACAGATTCGATTGTATCAAGGATTAACTGATATAGGGCTTTCTGGGGAGTAGAGAATCGATTTCGAGAGTTATTCTTAAAAGGATAAGAGGTATGAATATTGTTGATTTCCAATTTTAATTTAGTAATAATAGCATTTTGCTAAATAATAAGATTGAGAAGATTATTGGTTCAGGCAGAAGGCTTTTCTTTATCTGATTCTTTGCCTTTTTGTAACATAATCGTTTTAGAAATGAAAAAATCCAAATCTTCTTTGTTATTATCAAAAACAGCAAACTGATTTGAGGTTGAAATAAAAAGACTAGTTTTCGTTTGAGGAGGAGGAGTATGTGGTAATCCTTTGTTTTGAAAGATTATAATTGTATTAGATTCTTCGGAATTGTAAGGAAAAGCTTAGATATACTTCTTTGCAACTCTTTTCGATTTTCTTGAAAAATTGGTATAAGGATTAGGGGATTGTTGTTGATTAATTATCCTTCAAAAACATTTCCTTATCTTTTGGTATAGATTCTTCTAGTCTATGCAATATCGATGCTTAAATGGTCTAAAAAAAGATAAGATATTATTTGATATACCATTACCGGCAGAGGCTTGTATAGATGAATTTTAGATAATATAAAGGATTGTTATAAAAGGATTCAATTCTATCTTAGAATTTAAAACTAAAAAAGAAAGAAAAAAATAAAAAGAGAACTATAAGGGCTCCGAACTATATATACCAATAAATCACATGCTAGGCTAAGGTCCTAGAAGCTAAGTAATTGAGAAAGGAATCTGAAAGGGACTGAATCGTCACAAAAGATCGGAAAGCGTGTACAGAGGCGCTCAGAGGATCGGAGACAAAAGCGTAAGCACGCTAGTTATCGTTTGGGAGGCTACTGAGGGTATTGAGATTTTACTTTTAGGAGAGGGGGATCATGTAAATTAGAGATTATCCCGCAGTTAGCCCAACCGTAATGCCCCCTGGGAGGTTCGCCTATACGGCCCGGTTGAAAATTACTAATAATAATAATAATAATAATAATAATTATCTTTTTTACTAAGTTTCTAATTATAATATTTGTAGAAGATATAGATCTTTGTATTAACTTATTAATCTGATTTAATAAAGCCTTTTTCTATTCTAATAAAAGATATTGGTATATATCAGTATAGCCTATCTTGTAGAAAATGGTTTTGCCTCTATATTGTTTTGAAAGCGTAATATAATCAACTCTGTATAAATAAGCTATCTAAATGTATTTAGAATATTCTTAGCTTTTAATATAATCTAGCACAAGCTCCATACAGCTTTCTAAAGATATATTGTCGCGATATTTAGATAGTGATATTGATGTTTTTGAAAGCTAAAAAAGCGTGCACGATACAGGGACGTGCACGATGTAGGGATATCGGTTATCTAAGCGAGCGAATAGAAAACTTTCAATTGACACCTCAATGTATACACAGTTACCAATAGGTAGGTAGATAACCAAACAAACGAATCCCCCTTTCATTCTCTAGGTACCTAACACAAAATTTCACTAAAACCAAAAATTTATTTTATTTACATCACCAAAATCAATAAACCCCATACCCAGAATCCCAAAACACAATACAATCTCCGCATAAAAGCACGGGCGGGAATCCAACATCCGCCTTAGCAGCGGCATTATAATTCCGCCCAGATAGAGTTAAACAACCTATGTAGAAAACTCCCCTCACGATTGGACATTGAGATTTCCTTACCTGATAGCATCACACCTATTCTACAACTTCTATATCATTACTCACAAAGAAGACTAGGTAATACCTACTCAATGCATGCATGCATGCATCCATCCATCTTACCAAGCATGCGGAATTAATAATTCCAGCTCGAATTCCACCCACTACCGACGAAATACTATAAAACCTCTTCCCTCGCCTCCCAAACCCATATCAAAATTCAAAACCAGAAAATCAGCTCCCTTGAAACTCACTCCCACATCATCTTCTATTTCAATTACATCTCACTTCGTATCGAATCAACGACAGACTTTTCACCTTCACATACCAATACAAAAACCATGTCCGATCTCCAATACTATGCATATCCCACGACAGGCGAGGAAAAATTAAAGCAGCATGGTTACAGCCAAGCTGTTCGAGTAGGCGATCGCATTGAGTGCGCTGGTCAAGGTGCGTAGTTGAATTTTCTTCTGATATATGTATACATATACCCATAAAGATCCTCCCCGGCCATGCAAATCCAATCCCCAAATCCAATTCCCCTTCCCATCCTCCACCTCTCCATGGCCATCCACACACACTAACCCCCTCCCCCACCCACCAGGCGGCTGGGATCCACACAGCGGACAATACCATCTCGAAATCAACGCGCAAATCGACCAAGCCTTCGCCAACGTCGAGTTAAATCTGCAGCACGCGGGCGGCCTCAGCTGGAGCCAAGTCTTCCGCGTGAATTCCTATCACGTGCCGATGAGCGACGAAGCTCTCGCGGCCATGACGCGGAATTTCAAAAAGTGGATGCCGCACCATGCCCCCATCTGGACGTGTGTCGGAGTGGCGCGTCTCGGGGATGAGGAGATGAAAGTGGAGATTGAGGTTGTGACGCTGGATGCCGAGGGGGCGGAGAAGGCGAGGGAGGCGGGGAAGAGGTGAGGGGTGAGGGTGAGGGGTGAGGGTGAGGGGTGAGGGCAAGGGGAAGGGATAATGTATTGGGCTTGTGTGTAATGAATGAAGTTTAGAATCCAAGTAAAGATTCTAGATTCAGTTTTACTATCACTGGTTTTATATCGCAACACACGATACTTTTTATTTCAGCACTCACCAATTCAAAAATCATGATTACAACATCAACACTTTTTCCAGGCCACTAAGCCCATGACATCAAAAAATCCAATAAACTATCCCACATAATCTCTTTCGCAATGAAATCCATTCCCCATCAAATCAGATTACCCAATCATCATAACCTATCTACCGCATCTAAGCCGGATGATCTGTCCCCAAATCCGGAACATCTAAAGCACCCCCTCCAAGATCAAAATCACGAGTAGGACTAAGAATACTAGGAAACTGAGAGGAATCTCTCCACAAGGAACTTGAGTTGGCATCGTCGTTTAGCATGAAATCAAGTTGGCCCATCCACGATTCATCTCCTTCTTCTGTCGAGAAAGCGGCAGTATAGAGATCTGGATCCAATTCTTGGGCTGGGTCAGTGGTGTGTTGAAAAAAGGTGTGAGAATCACAGATACCGTTGCGATTCTCCGCGAAAACTTCTGGAGTCGGGATTATATTGGTATCAAATCTTTCTGGGAGGTTGACTGTAGAGTTTAGAGTCGTATTTGAATTCCTTTCCATCGAATTGCTTGTATTAGCTTGTTGCACATAGATCGAGTTTGCCAGCGTCGGTATTAGGTTTGGCTCGGATACTTCGCCAACGAAAATCCACTTTAGCGGCAATGCATCAACGACATTCCACTGTACAGCCAGCTCTTGGATCTGCGTAAGCGCTTTGCTAGCCACCGGCCACTCATCCTGTAGAGCCGTCAGAGTCTCCATGCAAATCTGGAGTCTGCGGCGCGCGAGGGATATTTGAGTTGGTGTGCGTGAGGTACTGAAGAGAAGATGCATGATGGATGCTGTGAGGATATGATGGACAATGAATGGAAGTGCCGATGTAGGTTTACCCTGCTTAACATTGTCCGAAGATTGTAGTTTGCATGTGGGTTCTGCTAGATAGTGTTTACGGAATAAGTGGATATATTGTGTCATGCGAATTGCAGCAGATGATATTGTCGCGAAGGCAAGTGAAAATGAGTCACTCGCCGGTGGATCGCCGAGATAAGGGCGATGAATCATGAGAAGAGACATTTGGTAAGACATTTGGAGGAAGAGAGCGGAACGTGGTGGTATAGATGCGGCTGTGGAGGTGGGAACTAGCAGCCAGGATGGCATAGCTTGTTTGAATGCTAGAAGTTCTGCTCGTGCCAAGAGTAGCAGGCGACTTCTTTGGGAAAGCTCCAAGGCTTTGAATTCAAAGGAGTATCTGATTTTATGTCAGTGCAAATATGCTTCCTATGTGGGGGCATGTGTTACATTTGGTCCATGAATTGATCGTGCAATTGCCAAAGTCCACAATTATAGCTGAAGGCAAGCTCATCATGTGAGGCGTCTGCGCCCAATAGAGAGTGTAGAGTTGGTACTTGCACACGACGCCATGGAACTACACAACTGATGCCAAGCATAGTGGCAGCTATTCTAAAGAAAATAGTATTAATGTCGAGTGTCTGTAGAGATATTTCCATGGGCTCATTAAGATGAATGAAATCTTACCGATCGATAAAGAACAATGACCAAAATGTTCTGAGTCGATTCTCCTGTTCTTGTTCTAAAAGTCTTTTGGAAGTGTCAGACTTGGAAAGAGCACCTAGACCAATAGCATGGAGACCAAGACCCATAGCAAGACCACCGGCCATAGCTAACGAACACAATTCAGCAAGATTATACAGACTTGGAGAAGAAATCTTACAGATATATAGAGAGGCACAGCTATTATGCTCCTGACTCAATTCCCTCCATGCAATGATACTTAGCGCTTGAACCACCGGTAGAGACGGTTGTTCACGACAAGCCTTAACCGAATTCAAATCCATGCATTCTTCAAACTCCTTCCCAGCATTCCTCTCTTCCTGAACCGTCGAAAAAAGAGCTCCCGCCGCAAAAACAGACCCGTACAAAAGATCCAGCGCCGGCTCATCAAAAGGGTAGAGTTCGGGATAGAGTTTATAAGAAGGGGGAATGAATTGATGTACAGGATTGAGCTGAGTTAAAAACAGATTCATGAGATTTGTTTTCAAGCTCAGATTGTAACAGGCGTCGTGGATGGGCATCATGTTGTTGAATACCTGTGACCTTTTACGCGCTTCAGATCGGGCTACAACTGCATCAGCCGAGGAAGGAATGCAGAAATTACCAGATGGTCCACTGAACATAGGCTCTCCTTTATCCCCAAGGTCAAGTCTCCACACTAGTGTGGCAATATCATTAATAGCCGAAGAAGACAACGGGAGCTCTGTACGAGTCGTATTTCTTTGCTCCCCGACTGAAACATTGTCTTGATGAGAAGGCAAGCTTGGAGCTTTCGTCGTGTTCGCCAACGACAAAGCACTGGAAGGATTTTCGGACGACAACAAACATGAAGCTTGGCCCGCTTGCAGCTGAGCTACCTGTGCACGAAGTGTCGAGTTCTGCTCTTCCAAAACAGCCACATACTCTGCATCTCATTGTTTGCGTCTTGATACATGTACAATCAGTTTATACTGATCAGCACTTGATGGTACTGAGTGCAGCATCACTCACTTGCGTGTTTCAACCGTTCCTGCATATTGACAATCCTTCTGAGATGCATTACAGAAAGTGCATGATGGGCGTAGACCATCACACTAGGAGATTTTAGCTAATGCTCTATGGGAACTATAGCTAGGTATATATATCGGGATTCTGCCCTACCTTTCGTTTTCTCTTCCGACACTCCTCACATGCTACTCCTGTACGTTTTTTCTTTGCGATGTGATGCAAGATCCATAGCTATGTAGGATCGGAAAGCAACTGACAGTATTAATTGTAGTTCACTCTCTATTCTTCTTTAATTGAATTGAATAGATGGTTGAAGATTGAATCTTTTTCTTGTCGTAGTTTAGTTTAGGTCAAGTTGGTCCACAAGTGGGTGCACGGACTCACAGGATAGTTTATATAAAGTACAATTCTATATCAAAAAAGACAATCTTAATAAATCAATTAAAATTTATAATTATAATAAATCTTTATGAAATATAATACGTAATTATTAATTATAACAAATTTACACAACATATAAATTTCCATTAAAGCAATTTACTAAAAACACATACTATTATATCTCTAAACCTCAAATCTCACAATTCTTAATTCAACTTCAAACATATTATTTTAGAATACTTTTCATACCTTCAATATAATTTTAAATAATATTCAATTCATCTTCGAGTTTAGATTGAATTTTAAAATTGATGAGTTTTAATGTAGAATTATTCTTTCTTCTTAAATATTTTATTTTAAGAATCTATATATTAATCTATTGATAGTCTTGAAATTTACTTATTTGTATAAGTAAAAAGAATAATAATAATAATAAGAATAACGAAAATATGAAAATAAGTATAATAAAATTTATATCAAAAAGATTCTATAAGAACATCTAGTAAGAATAATTAATAATCTAAATAAATAAAAAGAAAAAAAGAAAATAAATACCCAGTAGACAATTATTCTCATCTTACTATATACTTCGTAATATCTAGTAGAGTTCTTTCTTTCTTCTTTCTTTATATTATTAAAAGATTACTAGGTCTATTTATAACATACCTAACGATACCCCGAAAGGATTCTAGAGATAGATATCGATCTATAATTTGATTCTATTGCTCCTCTCGGCCCCCTCCTCTTCCCCCCCTCTTCCTCCCCTCACTCTCCCCTCATGTCCTCTTCCCCTCTCTTCCCTCTCTTCCCTCTCTTCTCTCTCCTCCCCCCTCATTCCTCTCCATCACCCCTTATTTCTCCTCCCCTCTCTTCCACCTCTCTTCCACTCTCATTTCCTCCTCTCACTTCCTCTCTCCCCCCCTAAACCTACCACCTACCACCTACCCATCACTCCCTCAGTTCCCCTCCCCTCCCCTTCCCATCCAAACACCCCTTACCCCTTCCCCCTCCTTCCATCCCTCCCCCAATACACAAAAATCCATCCTCACAATCCATCCTCACAAAAATCCATCCTCACAAATCCATCCTCACAAATCCATCCTCACAAATCCATCCTCACAAATCCCCACCAGTGAGGATATTACTCACATCCCTCACATCCCTCACATCACTTCCATTACTTACCTACATCAACACAATACTTATTTTCATTGAGTAAATAAGTACCTAAATATATAAATGAGTACCTAAGTATATAAATGAGTACCTCCACTAAGTAAATAAGTCAGAAATCCTACCTACTTCCATAAATCCCACATTCCCTCAAATCAAATTGAATTAAATCGAAATCGATCAGCCAGTGAACTCAAAGTAAAGGTAAAGATGAACCCAAGCACTTAGATACCCACCTGTAAAGAATCTTTTTTATTATCGCATGAATTGAATACGAAGAAGTATCAAAGACATACATACACATACACATTACCAAATTCACATCACACTACATTCACATCCACACTTCTCAAACTCCAAACAACACTTCAAACTTTTGTTACTATTATTTTGTTATTTCGGATTAGATACTTTATCATCCTGAACATCCCTGTAGGCGATCTCCCTCCTAGCTAACCTCCCTTACGATACATCTCCTCATTCTTCTCCTCATCGAATGATATTCTCAGCGAATAAACTCACACAAACAAACCACCAACACCATGCTATTCCATCCCATCCCATATGTATATCTGCCAAACCTAGCAATTCCCATACTCCATGTACCGATCGCTGAATGACCATCTAATAATGCTCAAATCCCATCTAGGAAATTTGAGGGGTATCATCCAATTCTATATATTCATAAAAAGCAAACACAAAACAAAAGCACAACTCCACTCCACCATTAATTAATTGCCACGTGAGTAACATCCGAGAAGATCGTTGAATCATCGAGGGGGAAAGACCCATTTAAAATCGACCTTCACAAACTCAAGTCGAACGGTGTCTAAACATTGGTGGAGCTTGCGCTTGAAATCCCACAATATAATTCTTTTCCTCTCCCTCCATCGTCGTCCATTTAAGCGGTACCGTCGTCAAAACATTCAAGAATTGCTCTCCATTCTTTCGATAATTGATAAGAGTAACCTGTGATTCCAAGCCACATTCGAGAGCGGTGCGAATAGTTAATTTCGCCATGGCGTTGGGATCATTCTTTGGATTTTGTATCCCCTTCATTGTGGGTGCATTGCCGAGGTAATCAAAGGTGTTGGGATTAAAAGGTTGTTGTAGGAATCTGCAATTCTTGCCAATGATTTCGGTTTGAGAATAGCCGGTGAGGCGTTGGAAAGGTTCACTGCAGTAGACGATTGGACAGTGAGGACGGGAGGAATCGCATAGGACGAGAGCTACGCCGCTATCGATATTTCCCAGGGGATATGTTGGATTTGGACGACGTTGGATTTGAAACTAAGTCATGTTAACACGGAAAGTGCTTTGAAGAGACTTCACCCAAACGAGAGCAAGCAAGCTGCTTCGAAGGTAGAATGGAAAACGTACCAGAATTTGTAATACATCGAAACCACTTGGAGAATACAAGCCTGGATAAATCATAGGATCGGAAGAAGCAGAATCTCGACTATCTGGTCTTGGACTTCCACTTTGTTGAATTTGTTGATCTCTCATGGCCGCATGTTCTGCATACAAGGCTTGAAGCTATTGTGAAAGGATAAGCCTCGATGCACACTCAAGGGATGTGTTGAGAGATACATGACAATGTCACCCTCTCTCACACACGAGTAAGAGGAAGGAAAAGCAAAAGACTCACCTCTTTCAGCTTCCTAAGCTCTTCTTCATGTTCCGGAGACAACATCATTTCGAACGAGTATCTTTTTTTTTATTTCAACGTTTCTTCAGAAGATGTATGACGCGAGGAATGGAGGATGGTGATACAAAGAATTACTTTGTACTTCTGGACATTGGTGGTATTCTTTTTTGCTTCACCCTTTCCTTTATATCCATTCCCTTGAAATACTTTGAAAAGGTTTAGAAATTATGATTCGATCGAAGTGGGGAAGAGGAGGGGAGGGGGTTGGAATGGGTGGAATGGGTGTAATCAACATTTTGGGGTACCGTTATTTTAGTATTTTAGTATTTTAGTATTTTAGTATTTTAGTATTTTAGTATTTTAGTATTTGTGAATTTATAGTTTAGGATTTAGGGTTTAGGATGTGGGATTAGGTATTTTAATATTTAGTCCTAAATACTAGGTAGAGACTAGGTAGAGACTAGGTACATTCTTGAATGAATTGAGAAGGGAGTGGAAATAGTAGAAATAGTGTAAAAGTATGAAAGTTTAACTTTGACTGACAATCGAACTAAGAAGGATTATGATAATACAGTACTCGTAGGTATACCCAATGTACCCTGGACTTTCTCTTTATCGTAAAGCTACTTTATTCATCGTATCCATAGAGTACTCTGTGATGAAAAATAAACTTAAGCCGACGAGTAACAGAGAGAAATTATATAAAGTGTACTAGTATCTCGTATAATGTGTATAGACTACCTAGATAGGTATATACCTAGTACCCACCTATCCATGAATATAACAGACACACACATCGAGCAAGAAGGAAGAAAATAATAAACACGGCCGACCGAGAGAAAGGGAAAATGCACGATTCGATCGTGAAGAGCCCAGGTGAAGGATGTTTAAAGCTTTTTCCCTCTCTCGATCCCCAGGACATCGCAATGTGAACCAAAAAGGAAGTGACGATCGACCAATCATATCTTTAAATTACCGAATTATGCGAGAAAAAAGATATATTTGGCACGTTTCTCGTCTATGACCACTGCGATGGACTGGTCCTAATATATAGGTAACATATTATACAATCTTGCCCAAGCCATACTGGCGCGTCGATTTGGACTTGCATGAATCTCGAGAGGCTCAATCGGAGAAATAGATGAGACATCTGAATCTCTGGATACCTACTAGGGAGTATGGAGGCAGCTACCTAGTCTTCTCTCGATCTTGAAACAATAAAGTGAGGACATCATCCTAAAAAAATACTGACTCATCATGTGATACTAGCATGGAAATGATGGAATCGAACAATCAATAAATATCCTAGGGAAAAACATCTCTGATCAGTGTGAATGTGAAACTACCATGTGCATCTCAAGGCACGTGCCGCGGAAGAGGAACGTATCATCCATCTCACGATATACCGGTATCCCTAGATATACTATGTATCTGCCGTATATTTCCCATGTTCCGGTCTGTCGATGAAAGTCGATATCGATGATGATGATCATGATCATGATGATGATGCCTGTCTCGCTGGTTTGGTTTGACACTTTACATGCAGTGACGGTACATTGTACGGTATGAATATCCTTGCGTGCGTGCGTACATTGCACTTACATTTGCACTTACATTTGCACTTACACTCACACTCGCACTTCCACCTGCACTTCCACCTGCACTTCCACCTGCACTTGCCCTTCTAACTCTAACCAGACAGGTACGCACCCTCACCTAGCCCCTCTCCCTACGGAGTAGTCACAAATCCAAATAAGTGGAGACTCACACCACATTCCGCGAATCGATCTGGATCTAAAGGTTTATCCGAGTACCGAGCCCCCTTCATACAAGTTCCAACTAATCAATTACCACTTACCACTTACCACACCCCCGCCTTCAAGTTTTGTTCTCCTTCTAGTCTTCTCCTCCGTCCCGAAGGTCCTAGGAGGTGCAGTAGGTCACACACATACCTGGGTAGGTCACTGGTATCGATTCGATCCATCCTAGATATCGATATTGAATATCGATACGATCGATGATCGAGAATTGAGCATCGATGATTGAGAATCGAGGGACGCTTGAGATTTGCCCATGACTCCTTTTAATCTACGAGACACATGGGGGTCTGGATACCAGGTATGTACGGAGCAAAACCTCCTGTTTGAATGCAATGGAAGTCTTGGACATAGGTATTGCATATTCACCGCTTGTTGGTTGTTACGAGTACCGTATCGTATTATAAATTTCTAACATTGATTTGGTGATTTCGGAATCTTGTGCATTTCTTGTTCAGAAAAGCGTTGGGAATGAAATCGTATGTTTATTACAAATCGTATCTGGGTATCAATCTACCCACGTGCTTTCTCGTGATTTATCAAGTTACCTACGGTATGGCATCAGATTTGGCTTTACTTACGAATGACCCCTTTATCTCATTTATCTCATTTATCTCTGGATGATATCAACATCATTATGAATCGATTACTCACTATCAAATACTCAGTCATCACATCACTTTTGTCACCGATGAGTTACTCACCTAGGCATGATATCCAACTTACAGCCATCCACTCTACCGTATTATGATATAAATATAAATAATATCCAACTCAAACCATCACTCAGGTACTCAAAATACTACCAGTACTACCAGTACTACCTAGTAGGTATCCTCTACCAGTAATCCCCTCATCATTGCACAGAAATCACGTTTTTATAACAAAAGCATTCAAGGTTATCTCGGGATTAATCATATCACGAGTAGGATCTGGAGAGGTGATCAGATAGGTGCCTACCCATATTACAACTCATCATCACATTTCAGATTCTAAAGAAATGCTAACGGCCACACTTGAATTGAATCATTTATCCAGCCATCCAGCCATCCAAGAGCTTTCTCTATGGTCCATGGAGCCCGAATTCGTGAGATGTTTATCTGCTACCTACTCTCAGCTACTCTAACTTATCGTGTAAGTCAAACACGTGATTTTACTGAGTACAGTACCCCCGAGCCCCCATCATGATTAGTACACACATTCCTACCTGTGAGCATCTTGAGTCTCTTTCAAAAAAATGAGAAATGAGATTCTCTTGATTGGAAATGAATGATGATATATAGATCATATCATATCAATCATATTCCATCTCATCTCATCTTATTCAAATTATCTACATCATCAAGCCATTACCTGAATAGTTACCTATGTACCTACCTACCTACCCATCCACCTACCTACCTCACACAACCCAACGTCCAGACCAGATACCCTCCTCTCCCCTCCCCTCCCCTCCCCTCCCCTCTACCCCCAACAAACAAACTTCCAAACACGCAAAGCCTACTTCCTACCTACCTACTCTTCTAATACCTACCTACATACATACATACATACATACATACATACATACATACATACATACATACATACAATCCAGAATTCGCATCAAAGATCTTTAACAGACCCAATAGATGAGGAAGACTCTCGATTTCTAGATTGCAGATGCACTTCTAGATTGCAGATGTAACCTTACGGTACCTAGCTACGATGTAGATATATCATAGGTGATCTTCCTTATTCGTTCTATCAATATCAATATCAACTTTTTGGAAAGGTTTTTGGAAAGTTGATTTTTTGGAGGTGGAAGATGGGAGATGTATGGTGAGATGTGAGATGTGAATTGGAAAGATGTGAATTGGAAAGATATGAGATGTAACATTATGATAGATATCTTGATGATGTATATAAAATCGAATCAGATCAGATCAGATCTCAATCTATATCTCAATCTATATCTCAATCTATATCTCAATCTATATCTCAATCTATATCTCAATCTATATCCCATATCTCCAAAACACAAAGCACAAAAGAAAAAAAACATAAAAATTAGATATAAAAATCCGAAAAATCAATCATCAATCATCAATCACCACCATAAACTCACTCTCAAGTCTCGACTCTCCCATCCACCCAATCCAATCCCGGCATCTCCTCGGCCCCCAGTCCCACCTCTCACCCTCACTCTGGACGAAATAAACAGCACACCGAAAAAAGAATATTAATTCTAAAATTCTCTTTTTCAATCAACAATCAATAATTTTGAATTTTAAATTAAAGCAGATCATTTAGAAGCTAACAATTTATAATATCTCTTCAATTTATTTATCTTATTTTATTCTTTCAAATTGTGATTCAATTTTCAAATAATAATATTTGAAAGAAAGTCTTGATTTTGACGGGTTTGGTGTGCCGTTTATTTGAGTCACCGCCATCACAAAACTCATAACTCAAAACTGAAAGATGCCTCAGGCCCCCACATCCCATCCCGCGCGCAATAATTTTATATCAGATACCTAGACCGATAGAAAGCAGACCCTCACCACCGCATCTCCCCTCTCTCCTCTCCACCACACCCCAAATTCATCTCGAGATTTAACCATGGCGAAAAAAAGGTATGTGCCTTATTCCTTATCTCTCATTCCCTCATTTCCCATCTCGCATTTCACATATCTACTCTTCGATTTATTCTCTATTCTCTTCTCTTCGATCCTTCAAGCTCCCCCTCCCCCTCCCCCTCCCCCGCTCACAAACCCCAATCCAGTCCAACCCTCACGAAAAAACAAACCCAAAAATATAAAAACATAAACTAACACTTCTCCCCTCCCCTCACAGCAAAATCCCGTACAATCCCCGTCCGACTCATTTCCATGGCTCTAACGGGCTACTACAAGACGCTTATTCGACCGCGGGCGCATCGTCCGCTTAGTATGTTGAAGTATGATCCTGTTGGTGAGTTTTTTTCTGAGATTTCTTTTTTGGTTGGGATTGAGTTTGGGATTGGGATAGGTTTGGGAGGGGGATGAGGGGTTGTAGTGGAGGGAGAGGAGAGAAGAGGGGTTAGAGAGAGAATGCGAAATCGAGATGTGCTAGTGAGGAGAGAATTGAAAGCAAAGAGGGAATGCGATTGGAAAACGCAAATTTGGATTTCTCTTTATGATTGAGAAAATGGAGATGGAGACAGAGCCAGAGATTGAGATTGAGAAATGCGATTCGCGAATGAAACAGAGAGGATATGGGACTTGAGAAAGCACAAACTGCGATGTGGAAATACATCTATTCGCATTGTATTCCGTCGAACGAGGAAAAGGAAGGGAACCTCAAGGAAACCAAATTACATTCGAGTCATACTTCAATTACTCTACGCAGCATGTATACAGCCAATTCATCGTCTCGTCTCGCCTTGCCTCGCCTCGCCTCATGGATACTTCAAAAATTCCAAACACGTCTGCGCGCTTCGACCTGTTCTCCTCTCCTCTCCGAATCTACATTCGACTCCTTCCCCTCTCTCTCTATCTCTCTACCATCACCAACTCGGAATCTCGATCCGCCAACTCAATCTCATATCTATCTCTCCCACCCACATCTCCTTCGCATTCCATCGCAACCCCCCCGCTTATCTCGAAAATTCCACCTCCGCCTCCAACCCCAAATCCACACTCCTCACACTCACACAGACCTCGACCAAATCCACCATTCCCATTACAATTCCCTTAACCTTTAAAAATACAAACTGCAAAGCTAACCCCCCTTTCCCCCATCTAGTCCGCAAAAAGGTCCTCTTCCTCGAACAAAAGCGTGGCGGTGGTGGTAAATAAATAAATAGATCAATCACAATCACAATCACATCCATATATCTATCTATCCATCCATCCATCCATCAACTAAAACACCGCATCACACCTAAATCACGCCCTCACCTCACCTCACCTCACTCCAACACAATACAGCAAAACACAACGCAATCCAAAAAGACAACGAACAACAACACATACACACACATAAAACCCATCAAAAAAAAATCAGGAGATACCGGAAAAGGCATGCACGCAGTGACAGAAATAATATATATGCTTCTGTGAGGAAAGGAAAGAAGGGAGGATTTATGGCATACCCATACGAAATAAGGGAGATAGATGATTATTTGGATGTATTCTCCGGTATTTGCTCTGGGATAACTTCAAAGGGGGGGGGGGGGGGGGGGGGGGGGGGCAGAAGAAGAAAATTCACAAAAAAAAAGCCTTTATACTACACGAGGAGATACCATTACTCAAAACAGAGTGTACGAATAGGTTGCATGGAATGGCGTATGGGATAACATCATGAATACAATCACCATTTTATTACTTGGAGCCACATGAGACACTGTAGTGAACATGATTTGGTTGAAAATATATTAATGCAAATTTTAGATTTCTAGATCATCTAGCAAAAATGATGCATAACTTTCGTCCCTCTACCTTCCCGACATATATAAGCGATATTTGCGAAACAGCAAAACATACATGTTACATATTGTGGACCTGATCCCATACTTTTCTCATATCATGTAATAACTCTCCACCAGGCAATCCCTTTCAAGCCAACGAAAAACAGCCACTTCAAGTATGTTAAAAATATCCGTTTCTCCTTCGATACACCAATTGCAAGTTCTTAAAGCAATATCATTTCTCTTTCGTACGTCCAAAATTGTGAAAGTTTGCAAGCATATACAGGGAGGGCAACAATAAAGTGGTTGTTGACAATAACACTCGAAGGAAAGATGCTATCATCGGCCCAAGTTGGGCGAATTTCAATCCCGAGGTAGTCAAGTCAGCGGTTGAATATGACATTGCCTCCAAAGCTGTAGAATATCCACCTCACTGAGAGTCTGGAATAATTGTCTTGTTTATTGGCGGGCGGCGATTGATTCTTGGGGCTTTCGCAGGTTTGGTGGGTTGTAAATCCTGAGTATGAAGGGATGAATTTGATCTTGCTCTCTTCATTGCGTTTCGCTTGATCTCGGGTGTTGGCTCATATCGAGGTTCTGGTGCCCTTGAGCTTGCAACTTTTGGTTCTCCACTCGCAATACGATTGTAGCTGCCTGTACCAGTCCCACGGGTCGCTTGAAGTCCGATACTGGAACCGTGATTGTTTCTTAGTGCCGGCTTTTTGAAAACTCTCTCGTCTTGGTTATGAACTTGATCTTGTGAAGCATCGTGAGGAATAGAATAGTCCTGGTAGTCACCTTTCTTCAAAGCGGATTTAAGTGGCTTGTTCGTTCGGCGTTGAACAGATTCTTCTGCAACTGAAAGAATGGTCCTGGACGCTTGAGTTGGTGTATCGACAAATTCCCCTTCGAGAGTAAGCATGACTTCGTTAATTTTAGATTTTGGGGTACCAAGGTGTTCTTCTTCATAAGGATAGTACTTGGATCGACTCTCCATCTGTGCAATCTTATCATTCGATACCTGACGATTTTTGTTGTATACTCGCTGTAACTCCTCTCGGCTATGTGCAGATTGAACCATTGGCATAACATCCTCCAAATCAGTCAAAGGGCTTGTTGCGAGAGTAACAATAGTAGAAAATGGTTTAATTGGAGTCTGAATTCCGCTACTGTTGTCACCATATGTTTGCGAAGACGATAAAGTTCGTGAATATTTTTTGTTTACTTCTTCAGTCGGGAATTCACGGACTCTATGTTGATTTTCTCCCATGCCGTTTTCAAGTGGTTGATAATGGAAATTGCTAGATCGCCGCTCAGCAGGTCTGCGTGAAGACGATCGATTATCGTTGCGCGATGTTGGTTGAATCTCATCAAAACGATGAGAATTGCCAATCAAATTTTTAGTACTTTCAGTCATCGCATTCATGTCCTCCAAACGCTTTCGTAAACGATCATTATCCTTCATCAGATGCCCATTTTCTTCAGTGATTCCACGGAGTCTTCTATGAGCGCCTTCAAGTTCATCTTTAATTCTAAGAATTTCCTCTCGACAAGCTTGTGATGATGCATTTTGACTTGCTTGCTCTTTGCGAATTGAGAATATCTCTTGTTTGTGTTCTTGTTTGAATTTCTGAAATTGATCAGGAGATATGGAGCTTTCCTCTAAGCTTTGAAGCTGAAGCTTCTGCTGTAATAACTGGTCTTTGTATGCAGCTATCTTTGACTCACGCTCGCTGATGGTTTTTGTATGCTTATCAATCGTCTCCTTGAATGCCTTTGACTTCTCGATTGCGGTTTTGAGTCTCTCCTCAGTTTCTGCTTGTTTATGTTTGAGGTCATTCACTAAGGAGTCATGTTGGGCGAGTAACTCCTTTCTTTGAGAAAGGGCAAGCTGTGTAGTCTCCTGTCGAACTCTTTCTGTGGTTGATCTGCAATTCATTTGAAACTTTTGATTCTCTATTTCTAATGCCTTCATGGCAGACTCGACATCTCGAAACTTTTCCTCTGTATCGTGTAACCGTTTTTGAGTGGTGGTAATTGTCGTTTGGTGAGTTTGGATATCTTTCTCGGCTTGAAGCTTTTCATGGTTGGCAGCGGTAAGAAGGCCTTCCAGTCTAGAAGTCTCAGTGGTCAATTCGTCGACCTTTCTCTTCAATTCGGGGTCTTCTCTCGGTTGAGCAAGTGAGATTGCGAGTTGTTGGGTTTTCCCCATTAACTCTGAATGAACACCTGCCAACTCTCGAGTTAATTCATCCATTCGGGCGACATTTTTCTCCAAGTCCGCTTCTTTTGATTTCAGATTCGCCTCCGATTTGGCGTTGCTCTCTCGGAGCATATTGATCTGCTCACTAAGCTTGGCTTTTTCATCCATATCACCGCTGATTTGGATGAGACGTTCCTTAAGGTCATCAAAGAGCTTGACAGTAGACTCCTGGAAAGTAGTATCCTTGCTACCGTTATCATCTAATTTCGTTTCAATTCTAGAATAGAATTCTTCGAGAATATTCGTCAGAGTTTGTGGCCACTCCAATGTTTGGTTGAAAGAATTGGTGAATGTTTTTGATATTTCGTCAATCTTTCCATTGACACATTCGGCAGAATTCAAAAGCTTTTTGAGAATCCCGTCTTCTTTTGTGAGTTCTCCGAGGGTGTCGACTGGTGGTTTTTTGAGAATTTCCATGACTTCTTTGTGGCGATCCACGTCGCCATTGGGTTGATTTTGAAGTTGCTCCATGTCATGACGTAATTTTTTTAGTTCCTTCAACTTTAAGTTATAATCAGCCTTGAGGCGTTCATTCTCACAATGAAGTTCTCGAGCCTGCTTGATTTCCTCTAATAAACATCTCATTTTCTTCATTCGAGCATCAATCTCCATAATCTCTTGAATCTTTGATGCTTTGAACTTTTCCATCGATGCCTTCATCTCCTTTGATTCTCGTCTAAGAGTCTGATGGCAAACGACAACATCATTCATGTGTAGTTTGTAGTCATTGGATAAAACATTCAATCTCTCAACTCTCTTTGACAATTTATCTTTGCTTTCCTCCAATTGTTCGTTGATTATATTTGCAACTTGCAACTGATTATTCAGAATTGCAATCTGATTCTCTTGATCTTTGATAACGACTTGTTGTTTCTGGCACTCAGCGATAACATTATGAAGAGCACCGAAATCTAGGGAAGATCTCCTTTGGCAGCTACTGACGTGATCTCCGGTTTTACTGTTTTCATCTTGAGAATGCACAGCTGCTAATTTGGTGACTTTGGAAGCACTAATATGACTCAATGTTACCTCAGATATTCCTTGAGGTTCAAGGTCATGGGGTTTAATTGGTCTATTAACGACTTTTCGCTGAGCCTCATGTTCACCCTGAGTTCGTGGAGTTGTTTGAAGTCGAGGTGTCTGGGTTCGGGATATGTTTGCTTGAGATACAGTTCGCGAAGGTTCACGATGGCCTGGCTGGAATGTGGGATTCGGAATCGATTGATTAAATTCATCAGCAGAATCTTCTACTTGTGGATTATCCTCATATTCTACAGAATTCGCCGTGGAATCTTCCGTTTTGCCATCCGAGACTTGAATTTGAGAGTGTGCAAGAGGATCAGCATTCTTCACTGACTGGTTCATTGATCCTCGTTGGACAAGTTTGTCGTTGGTACGTGATCTCTGGGGTTCTGATCCCAGGGATGCTTGAATCTGCTTTGATAGCTCTTTCTCAGCAGACCGAGGTTCTGAATGCTGGGGTTGTGGTACTGGTACTGGAGGTTTGCTTGGCTTTTCTCGCTGTGCTTGCAATTTTGGTTCGTCCGCGAAAGCTTCTGGGAATGGACATTTCTTGACTAAGTTACCGTAAACGTTGATTTTGCTCACGGCGAGACGATTCATTCTACGAGAGAGTCAGTCGATAAACTTCGGACGAAAGGGTAGATATGCTTACTGATTTGAAGACTTTTGTCTTAGCCGGGGACGATCCGCATAATTGGTTGGCGTAGCAGCATTTTGTTGAGGTGGAGGTAACCCAACCAGCTTAGATTGTTCACTGTGAGAAGCTTTCAGCATCGGAATATTGTTCGATTTACTGAAAGAGGCGACTTCATTGTGACTTGCAGACTGCGGAGTGATATTATTTGGAATTGAGATATTTCCTTCCGTCTGAAGTGGCAGGTTTGCCATGCGCTTGGCGGGCTTTTGGATAGGAGGATGGATGGCTGAGTGGTTCTGAACAATGGGTCGTGCAGCTTGCTTAGGACCGCAGGCCTTGACTAACGAAACAGGATCACTATCGGGGATTTGATGATGTTGAACATTGTTACGCAAAACTGAAGAGACACCTCTCGGAGGATAACCCAAGTTTTGTAGAGGTATGTTGCAAGTACCGGGAAAACTCTCCTTAATTGCCGTGTTTTGAATGAGAGGGGGTGGTATCTGCTCCGGAGCTGGCCTGTCGGATGGAGCGGTAAGAACATTGGAATTTTGGTGGTGTTTCGAAGCCTTAGAAACTGGTAGAGGGACGCTTTTCGGATGTTGAGCTGAAGTAATTAGAGGTATGTTGTGAGTATCAAATGGCTGTTGGCTCAATGGCATAACTTCACCAACAGGGATTACTTCTCTCTCCCGAATCTGCCTAACAGATGCAAGGACGCGAATATCGGGGACAGGATGAGTTGCAGAAGCATGATGGTCACCAGTGGATAACTTCTGCGTATCATTCACCAGGTTTGTCGAAGGTTCGCCGTGAAGCTCGGGGTTGGGAGTAACTGTCAAAACATCAGTATCAGATTGACCTGATAGCTACGTAGCTCTGTTGCGATCAGCTTACCTTTCGCCAATTCTTTGGGGGATTTCTGTGTTATTTGAGCTACAACTTTCGGTGCAGATGCATTCTGGACTGTCGATCCATAATTCCTTGGTCCAGGGTGAAATTTAAAAGGAGCTTCTTCTGGCTCTACTGGCCTCGAAAACATTATGGCTGGTGGCATATTGGTTTGGCGGGCGACATTGATGGATGATCCGTCATTCTCCGAGACATGCGGCTTTTGGAATGATGGAAATGTGTTATCGAATTGAGTAGTATCTTCAATAGCCTGAGTATCTATCTCAATGCCTGCAAATTGAGTCTCTTCAATCAACGACCGAGAACCAAAACTGGCATTTTGAGTGTCTATTTGATCAGACTCTTCATCATTCCGAATTGCTTGGGTATCTTTTTCAATGTCTGCAAATTGAGTTTCCTCAACCAAAGAATTGTTGCTATCTTGCTGAGAATGGTGAGAAGGGTATTGCTGGGGCATCAATTGTGTATTCAAGACCATTTCATCCGATTCGGAGCCAACGTCAATCATTTGTACATCATCAGCGTCAAGGTCTTGTTCTTCATTTATATTTGAATCGTGATACCAATCGGTACCGCCAAGAAATGCATCGTCAAGGTAATCTTGCTCAGAGGGAGGTGAATGGGGCGGAACAACGATTTGGCTCTCCTGTTCGTCCGGGTTCAAAACCATTTTGACGAGCGTGAATCACTAAATTCGCATAAAAATTAGATTTTCTCAGAATCTGCAAAATCCGAAGAAGCTCCTACCCAAGAAGGTGGCAGAAACTTTTATCTGCGGAGAAATGACGAACATCCAGAATAGATTGGAATTTGTTCACGTCCAGGGTTTAAATGATCGAGTGGCCGGGTCTGATGTTCCTAATTCCCCTTCTTTTGCCAGCTTAATAATATGATTCTGATGTAAATCCTCAATGAAGATGATAATGATATACGGTCTGTTACTCCACGTACATAATGAATGAAATGCAGAGGAAATGAAAGTATACGGAAATGAAGAGAGAATCGACGAGATGTCAATTATGACATGGAGACATGAGGGAATAGAATGTGGGGTACAAGTGAAATTTAGGTAGACGATGTGTGAGTTTGACTATGAGGGCAGGAGCACCTTCGGTCCTTCCTTTCCTGCTACATTCGCCAGCGTGAGCCAGCGCAGCTTTTGTTGGGCAGACCCAACCAGCGTTCGAAGAGAAAGGGAATCATGGAAGTGGCATATGTTACAATAAATATTTCCATGGCACTATTCGATTTCTCCATGTTCTTGTGACAGATGAGGATATATTATTGCTGGAGGTACAGACACGTGATAAACGCGTGATTATCAAATCTGCTCGACTTCGAGATCAATAAACATGTAAAGCCCATCAAGTAGCTAACGAAGATAAAGTTTGATAGAATACCCATTTCACAGACCAGATCTATCCTCGTTTAGAAGTCTCACGAGATATGAGATTCAAAAAGTAATCATATCCGAGAACGTACTTCACCGCATACCTGTGCCGTCGTCAAGCATTGTACTGACCATCACATGCAAGTCACCTGCTGGCGTTTCCGTCTCCCGCAAGATCTATTTTAAGATTCAGACTTCCCTTATCGTTTCAAGGACGGTGGTATCGAGTGCAGTATTGGAACGGACGAGGGAGTCGACCGTACACCAAACAGCACGCAAGTACACGAAAACTCTTCAAACGCTCCATGAATCAGCAATTCCAGCCCAAATTTCCACATGTATCTTGAGTATCTCCAATTCTGATATCGATCAAACGACACATACGTGTAACTACCCATCACATTATCCTTCCCGACGCCTCAAATCCAACCACCTACCTAAAGTCCTGGCAGAACCACGAGCACCCGAAACGCATCTACCTTTAAAAGTATTTCCCAAGCTCCTCTCAAGCTTGGCCTCATTTTATATCATCTCTCGATCCAATCAACATCATCAAAATCAAATATGTTGCACATCTTGCGGAATATTTGAATGTTGTACTGTATGTATGTAAGTAAAAGAGTATTAAAACATCCCAGCCTGCTTTGATATTGCGTGTAGTTCTATATTGCGCGGGGGACAATACAATACATGTTTCTTCCAAAATATCATCGGAAATCTACCGACCGAACCACATACATGTACCAAAGTCCCCTAACCAATCCTTCTGCTTTCCCTCACAAATCCCCAACTCAGACCGTCTCACCACATCACTCTCAAGTCTTCACAGCCACTCCAAAATCATCTCTTCTCACTCCCGCAGAAATAAAGATTCTCGGCAGTCACCAAGGCAATAAGCATGCAATTATAACCCCATCCCCTTCCCCCATAGGTCGATAATTACTAGCGCCAATATGTTGGCGCTTAAAATAGTCCCCTCCACGAATCAAACAAACGAACCACACTTCATGCAATATTATTTGCAGCAACCCTTATACCACTATTTTTGTGTGAAACTCATGTATGGAGTATGGATATAGAGCTATACAAATAGAAGCCACCCATTCAGCGACCACACCGAGGATATCTCCAGTAGCAGAATTAAGCTATCATGTAGCAAAAGTATACAATAGCGCTTACAGCCATCTGTGCACCATAAATTTACAAAAATGGAACAAGGAATAAATATATCCCCTCCCTCCCGTCATTTAATCACACCATTCGGTTTCTTCATCTCCTATCTGATTTGTCTTTTTCTTTAGCTGTCTCAATTTCTGTATGCCACTATCACTATCACGGCGTCAGGGGTTTCATTAATCTTTTTCTTCTTCATCCTTTCCTTGAATGTCATTGGTTTCCTTGATTCTTCAACAGGAGTCTAGCGTTCTACATTTGAGTTTTTGTATTTGAGATTTTGATTTAAGGATTACCTAGTATTTTATTTCATTATGAGGTCCACTGTCCCCCTTACTTTTGTTCTCCTCTCTTTCTTTCCTGATGTAATTTTTGCTCAAAATTCCTTCTTAACGTCTACTTCTACTTCGGCTCTCATATCTACCACATCTACACTTGTATCAAGCACTGCTACAAGTTCCTCAGAGTCTCAATTGTCAACCGAAACACCGTCCCCATCATATACGACCTCCATATCCCTTACTCCAGCCATGTCCTCCAGCTCCGTTGCCTCGTTTTTTTCCGCGCTTGCAACATCCGAGCCCTCAGCCCCCAACAATCCACCAGCCGGCGATGCCGCGAGTACGGGCGGAAGTGCCGGAGCTGATAGTGATGCAGGTGCGTCTGGGACTTCGAGTGGTGGTGTTCAGTTATCGAATGGAGCTATGATTGCGATTATTATTGCCGTGATTGGCGTGTGTCTCTTTGGAAGTATGAATCCCTTCTTTTATCAAAGAAACGACGAGGAATTAACATAATGGATAGTAATTTCAGCAACACTGTTTTATCTCGCCAAGAAACGTTCCTGGGAGGTGCGCAAGAAGCTACGGGCTTCGGCACGCAAAGTAGCCGTTGCCTTAACACCCAGAAGAGCTACATTCGGTAAAGACGTGCATAAAAGACCCGGGGGCCGTGGATTAGAGAGAATAGACGAGGTACCGCCCACGCCCAAGATATCGAAGACATTTGTGAGTGTGAACGATGTGGAGAAAGGAGAAGGGAAGATGATGGAATTCGAATTGTCGGATGCGCCGAAGTCGAAATGGGCGCGGAAGATGAGAAATGAAAGATAGATGGTGATGATAGCTGCTGAGACGGCTTTTGTTTTGTGTTTTGATGTATAAATGTTTGATACCCATGGAATGATTGATATGAATTGGATAAAGTTTTTGGATCATCCCTTTGTTCTGCGAATAATGGCATTTGTTTTTGTGGGAGGCATAGTTTGCAGGTATTTGAATTTTGGCGCTTGAAAATTCTCATGTTATGTATTATGAAATGGGTATCATGAAGTCTCAACTTCGGACTATTACAATCTTCTGAAAACGTTTCCACTGGCGCTTCGTCTTGCATCTTCGCGTCTACTCCTGCTGTTGGCAGGCTTGGCTTCTGTCTTCTCTTTATCTTTTTTACCAGCAGGAGCGAATGTGACCGAACGCTCACCAACAACATCGCCCCTGTTTTTGCTAACCCTACCAGTGCCTTGTTTGCGGGCTCCCAACGCATTGTCTTTACGTTGATGACCCGATTTCTTGTAAGACGAGGAAGAAATACGCATCTCAGCAGCTGGCTTAGGCTTCGACACAACCTCATCTTCACCATCGCTTGATTCATCCTCACTATTGACCTTGCGCTGTTTGATCTCCTCACCACCACCGGGAACCTTAGTACTAGGGTTGAGAGCTTGGAACTCTCTGCTACGCTCATCAACAGCGAAGTCTTCGTCCTCGAAAAGCTTGCCGAAACGCGAGTCACCCAAGAGACCAGCATTCTCATCAACCTTATCCCTACGCTCTTGTTTCTTGAGTAATTTATCGACCAAGTTCTGGTTGACCTTGACCTTCTTGCCACCTCTGATTCTACTGGCTCGCTCCTTCTCGACCTTCTCCTTGACTCGTTTGGTTCTCTCGTCTTCCCAGACGTAAGGATTAGCAATCAACCTGGCTTGCTCGTAGAGTTTAGAAGCCACGAAGTAACCATGCATATATGGTCGTAAAAGATTGGTAGTTCCGATGAGATGGCCCAAGTTGAGAGCTTTGAGTTCTGGTACTGTTAAGAACTTGTAATTATCGTAAGTTTCACTTGGTGCCTCCTCTGCCATTTCTTCAACCATATTATCCAAGAACGAACACCATTTGGGTGCGGGACCCAGTTGTGGAATGAAGAAGGCATGTTGTTGCTTTCCTTCGTTGGCCGTGAGGAGCATACCACTGTTCTTGCACCACGCTACTGAGTTGATGTCCACTGCTGGTTCGACCGATGTCCAGGCTTTTCCATCTGTTTCGTCCCACAATTTGATGATTCGTTTATCTGCGGATAAGATTTTCTTTTCTTGTGAAGAAGTGGTCATGTGCATCAAAGTCTTGATCGCATAACCATATCCTTGATCTTTAGTCAAGATTGGCACAGGTCGTCGAAGATCATACAATTGTACTATTCCTTCGGAGGATCCTGTCGCAATCGATATTCCCGATCTGTCGAAATCAAGCGCAGTAATTCCTCCCTGTTGACCCGCGAGAATTCCTACTCTTGCTTTGGATCTTGAATCCCAAAACTCCACCGTACCAATTGATGTCCCAAAAGCCATGAGGTTATGACTTTCTTCGGCAATAGATGCACAATTGACACTTCCAGTATTTATGCCTCCTTGTAAAGCGCCGCCGCCGGAAGTCGTCAGGTCATCACCGCCAACATCAATTTGGTATGGTTTCATGTAACGTCCTATTTCGAGATTCAATCGATATACTTCTCCAAGACCGTCTGCATTAACGCCAACTGCAGGTATTAATGCTTCCGTCGATGCTCTATCGTAGACAAGGTCACGCCCGTACCGAGGCAATCGAGTTTGATAATGACATCCGCCCTGTGTATGAAATTCTAGTCTACGATCGGTTTGTAGATGAAGCGATTTTGTGTAATCGCTAGACAGGAGAATGAAGGAATGATTAAGGGTTGTCGTGTGTCTTGCGAATGAAAGAGATAAATGAGGAAGATAATGTGTGTGGATTTGCGGTTTATATGTGCCAGTACTCATAACCCATTCCCCATCCTCACTAACTCTTATACAA